TATATATATATATATATATATATATATATATATATATATATATATATGCAGGCCCTACCTTATTTATTCTCAAATGAATCTATAAATATATAACAATTGAACCAAACATTGAGTGGACAATGCAAGGTTACCTTCTACTAGAACTCTAGTCTTTGTGTAGCTCAGGCTATCCTGGAATTCCCACTGAAGATCAGGCTGGCCTTGAACTCAGAGATCCACCTGCCTCTGCCCTCCAAGTGCTAGGATTAAAGGGGTGCTCCACTGCTGCTGGGCTAGTGGCTTTTGGGGGAGCCAGTAGCAGTAGAGAATATTTTTATTCTCTAAATATTCTCAAAAATATTTTTATTTTATGTATGTGAATATTTGTTTTTTTTAATGTTTTTTTTTAAATTTTTCTTTTTAGTTACAATTTGTTAACTCTGTGTCCCAGCTGTATCCCGCTCCCTCATTCCCTCCCCCTCCCCAACTCCCTCCCTGGTCTCCTCCCTGCCCCTTTCCAAGTCCACTGATAGGGGGGACCTCCTCCCCTTTCATTTGACCCTGTTTTATCAGGTATCTTCAAGGCTGGCTGCAAAGTCCTCCTCTGTGGCCTAACAGGACTGCTCCTCCCCTGGGGGGCGGGGGGGAGGTCAAAGAGCCTGCCCTTGAGATCCTGTTAGAAATAGTCCTTGTTCCCCTTACTTTGGAAAACTACTTGGTTACTGAGCTACCACGGCTATATTTGCCTTTATGTGTACCATATATGTGTAGAGCCCACAAAAATCACAGAGAACACTGGTTCCTATGGAACTGGAATTATAGATGGTTGTGAGCCACTATATCAATGTTGGGAACTGAACCCAGGTCCTGTGAAAGAACAACCAGTTCTCTCAACCACTGAGCCATCTCTCCAGCCCCTAAATCTGTACCTTTATTGGCTTTTCTAGGGTACTTTTCCACAGTAATGAAAAACTAACATGACAAGTAAACCATTTTGAATTTTTACTTCAGTGACCTCAGGGGCAGATACAGAAGGTATCTCCTGAGAGTGAAAGCTCTCCTTGTAGAGGGCTCTATGGCATCTGCAGAGAGGCCTCATCCTCCCCATCCTTCACATTCCCTGTAGCTCCTTCCATCCCCTTCTAGAAACTGCAGTCCAGGTTCCTGGGGATGCAGTACTCCTCAGGTAGACGCCTTCTGGAGCTACCTGCCAGACTCTTCAGACCAAGCTGCAGGTGAGAATATATGCCTCCCACTCTCTCTTGCTGCAGAGATGGACTTTCATGCTGCTGCTCCAAGTCCAAGAATCAGATGTTTTTTTCTAATGAGACTTTTTTGTGCTCATGATAAGGCCTTAAGGAGACATAAACTAAAGCATTTCTCTCAATCCTCTAGGGAGAACCTCTGAATTGTTCCTTTGAACAGCTGAGGAATCGTGCATCCCCAGGAACCTGGACTGCAGTTTCTAGAAGGGGCTGGAAGGAGCTACAGGGAATGTGAAGGATGGGGAGGATGAGGCCTCTCTGCAGATGCCATAGAGCCCTCTACAAGGAGAGCTTTCACTCTCAGGAGATACCTTCTATATCTGCCCCTGAGGTCACTGAAGTAAAAATTCAAAATGGTTTACTTGTCATGTTAGTTTTCCATTACTGTGGAAAAGTACCCTAGAAAAGCCAATAAAGGTACAGATTTAGGGGCTGGAGCCTGCTTTGAGTTGTTTGCCTACCCTTGGGCATGGGGCCTGGCCTGAAGTGGTTAATATGCTCAGTGACACTACATTGGAGAAACCTTACTTTCCCTCTCCCAGCAAAAAATCAGTTGCAAACAGCATCTTGTTTAGGGGGTGGTCCTTAATGTCAAGTTGCCCTCTCCTGTGCTGGGATTTTTCTGAGCAGAGGTTTTAATAGTTAATATTAATTCTGACACTTAATACTGATATTTGATTCCCTTCACTCATTGGGCAGAGGAATGAGAAGAAACTAATGAACAAGTCATCTGGAGGTCAGCAAGACTTCCCTGCAATGCTGTGGAGTTATCAAACGCTAACCTGGAAATACAGTACTCACCAACACAGGGGACCAGCAGCATACTGACCACGAGCAGCATAATCATTGCGGCAGCAGAGGACAAAGTGTAGGCATAGACTAGAGCAGCTCCCTGGGAGAGAGGCCAGGAAAACATGACAAGAATGCTTTTAGAAATCCCGTATGAGAACCACCAGAAGCTTCATGCCCCCTTTGTGCCAAAGGTCCAAAATTTGAAAGGGTTTCTGTCCCACCTTCAACACTAACTAGCAGCTTGACAAGAAGAGATAATGTTCCCTCCTGGTAACTCAGCTTTTCCAGCTGTAAAATGGCAAGCTAGCTGTGTTCTCCCTGAAGACATGGCAGTGTGGTTCCTTCCCTCTTTCATTCCACAAGTATTTTACTTCAGACCTAGCTTGAGGGAGGTGGGTTTGAACCCTACCAACACCACTCCAGATATGAGTAAATCTGGTGACCACATGGTGGTGCTGCCTGCCAATGAGTGATCTTTTCCCTGTAGCATCACAGCCTTTCTTTCCTCCTTTGTTTTTTGTGCGCTTGGTTTAAATCTGGTTGCTGTCCTGGAATGTCAATGGATATCCTCAGGGACTGCTGTGGGGACAAAGGACGAGGGTGGGAACAAAACACCACCACACCTCCATTGTAGCTTCTTGTGTTCAGGTCATTAAGAATTTGACTTAAATAGGCACTCTAATACCCAACATGTGTGTAGTTAACACGAGGCAGAAGATCAGACAGATTTTAGAACAATTTTCGCCTTAGTTACAGTCCCCCAAGCAGTGGAAAATGATTGGTTGACTTGTGCATATTCTGCTTTAGATCTGATTTTGGGATATTGTATGAATGACAATATGCAGGCTGTAAAGAGGGTTGTAGATATTGGGCATTACACAAAGGTGCTTGGCTAAGAGGGCATATAAAAACCTTGAGACAGCTAGGCTAGATTCTCAAGTGTGCCCTCTGAAGAACCTCATTAAACTGGGAGGAAGGGCACTTTGTATGATGTGCTCTTCTACAGGCAAAGGCAGCGTCCCACAGTTTAAGAGTTGCCGTGCTGGGGTCACTCTTTGAACTCAGTTTACTATGGAGAGTCCTGAGTGAAAAGACCTTTGGGGTGGTGAGATCACTGTTTTATAAACCTATTTCTATCATGGCCTCTAGTGGTTGCAAAATGAATGTGTATTAAATGAAAGAAAGTACAAGGTGTAAGTTTTTGAAGATCTTGACTGGAGTAAGTACCCTGTAAGTACTGCTGTCTGATTTTCCTTCAGCACAACGCTCTACTTGTAATCATCTTCTAAACACATGAGCTCTCCCAGCGCTTTGCAGCGTCAGCTTTTACATCCTCCTCTTCAGGCTAAAGATCATTTCAGATAGAAATAAATGAAAAGACTCCCAAAGGATTGTGCTAAGGGCCTCCACTAGTATGCAGCAAATGCCTTTCAGGAAGAGGGAGTCTGCAGATCCCTTTTAAAGTCAAATTCACAAGACTGAGGCCACTATACCTTGGGCAATCCAGTCACCATCTGGCATTTATGGCACCTATGGTTACTGTTACCATCAGTCAGGAGGGAAGGCCAGAACATAGGAACCTGGAAGCACGATACCTGGACATCATCTTGTCTAATTGCAAGTTTTAAGATGAAGCCTTTGAAGCTTGCAGACTGATCACTTACAGCACAAAGTTTCCACTTTTCCTGTGCCTGACTCCCAAGCTCAGCACTGTTACAGTGGTAGCACATACCCGGTAGCTCTTGTAGGGAACCCTCCACCCCCAAACTGTGATAACTGAAGGACAGAAGCTGCTCCATGGCACCAGGCATTACAATTACAGCAGCTGCCTGAGCTGCATCCAAAGCCTAATGCTATTCCCTGTCTCCTGTTTGTGTGGAAGCTCTTCTTTGGTAAGTAAAGTGTGTGTGTGTGTGGGGGGGAGGGATCCAGTTGGAGCAGCCACCTCTCAGGTGCCCTCCCCCCTCTGTCATTTCAGGCTATATAAGCTGAGGGCCACTAGACTTCCACAACCTAGGATGTGTTTATGGGAGTGTAAATGAGAAAAGCCACCAGATCACAGGCACAAATCCACCGCTAGGTCTATTTTAAGAAATAACTTACCAGAGAGAAGAGTGGAGAGCAGGGAGTTGCTTTGTACAGAGTTTCAGTTGGGGAAGGGGAAATAGTCTGGAAGTGGACAGTAGAGATTATGATACAAAACCAAAAATGTACTTTACACAACTGTCCATTGAAAATGGACAAGATGGTGAATATATACGTCTATATGTAGATATATAAACATTATCTATACTATATATAATACCATAAACATTCATACATACATGCACACAGTGCTGACTGAAAATCATACAGCAGTCGATTACTGGAGGGTGCTTATTCCAGTCAGGTTCTTCGAGAACTCACACCTTGCACTTTCTTTCATATTATATATATTATATATATATATGCATATATTGTAATATAAAATTTTAACTAGGTTATAAACTTGGGAATCTTGTTCCTTGCATTAATTGGATCATTCCTTGTGTCAGGTGCCCCACTGAGCATGCCCCATGCACTGCCTAGAAACAAAACCCTAAGACTTAAAAAAAACAAAAATGTCACGACAAGACTGTCCTGGAGCTCATTTTCCTCAGCACTGATTCATCCAATGCTCCTGAAGAAGAGTCTTGTCATGAGTCACAAGGCAGGAGCTCTGTGCTCAGGATCACCCACCGACATGAGGGGCCACAGTGGTTGTTCCACAGCCTTCTGTGACCCTGTTGAAGCAGCCATGTGTGATAGGGAAGTTGGGCAGGGGGTTTCCTAGAGCAGTTTAACAAGTGCTGCCAACTTGGCACTTCATCTCCTCCTACAAGAACTCAGAGTGCCTTTGGAGCAATAGTCAGCACTCACAGTGCTAAAGACCTGACCCTTCTTCCCTTCCCACCCCCTTCTTCTCTCCCTTTATTTCTCCTTTTCACCCATCCACTTGTCCTTCCATCTAGTGCTTTTCTTTCCTCTTTCCTCCTCTCCCTTCTCCCACTCCTTCTCCCTGTTTTCTTCCACCTATTCTCCTTGACCCTACCTCCTTGCCACATTTCTCCTTCTTCCTCTTCCCTCTACTTCTTCACATCATTACAAGAAGGTACCTACTATGGCGTGAGGCTCTCCTCAAAGGCTGTTGAATGATCCAATGCTGCTTAGCTTTGAGCAAATGGGAACAGGGTCTTTTTATACCTCAGGCAAAGACCCCCGGTCATGTGAGCACCTTCCTACATTCACACCAAGAGCTTTTCATGCTCTCTGGCAGGTGGGCTGCATCGAAGGGGAGGAGATATCATAATGATATGTCTTGGCACAGGTGAAGGTTCTATATTAAACAGTTCCATCTTGAGCCCCATGAAGAGACTTGAGCTCTAATTAAAGAACAATGGCTGCCTTGTTCCACACACCCCAGCCCACTGCAGTGTCTCAGAGGTTCTCTGATTATGTCTAAGGATCACAAGGGAACAACCTTGGAGGTTGAAAATCTGAAAGATGTTGAAAATCACAGGCTCCCTTGCTAGGAAAAAGGCAGCCTTTGTCTTGTCTAGCTATTGCTACAGAAGATATCTTTGGTGACTCTTTAGAAGTCCCCGATTAGACATGGGGATTTGATTTCACTTTTTTCTATAGTTTTCTGTCCAAATTGTGAGGTACAGTCAAGTGGGGCTTTATAATTAAATACCTTAGGTTTTACTTCCAGTACTATTGAGCTCCATCTTAGCTTCCATGTCTGCTATATGGAGCTCATCCTACTGGACTGTGAGGTTTAGGGGGATCTTAAGAGTCTTCCCTTCACTTCATAACCCTTTGTAAAGTGTTTTCCTTCCCAATAGTGTGCCACCAGTGGTCACCAGGACTTTGTCCTTGTCTTTTCATTCACCACACCAGGCTGTTTGTGTAATCTTAGGAGAAGAGAACTGAGAAGAACAGTATTTTTTTATGCTACCATGTGCCATCATTTTATGAAACCAGTCAAGTCAGCCTGGCCCAGAATTCTCTGAGCTTCAGCTTCCAACTTTGCCTTTTGTAGAGACAGACCTAGTTAAATGATTGTATCTCTCTGTCTTTCTGTCTGTCTTCCTCTTTCCTCTTCTCTCCCTACTTCTCTGACTCTCTTTCTTACTCTGTTTCTAGTCTGCAACGGGGGAAAAAAAACCAAAAACAACAACAACAACAACAAAAAACCCCTCTACTGCTATGTACTTCTAATGTGCCAATCATGTGGGATCAAGCAAAGTCTAAATCCTCTAAAATCTTGAGCTAAAATAAATTGTTTCTCCTTAAGATTTTGTATCAGGTAATTTTCCATAAGAGACTAAAAAATATCTCACACAAAGAATGTATCTTAGTATGTGTTATTGATACTCTTGGTCAAAGTATTCTTTTCTGTGGACAATGTCCTGGGCATTGAGGAATCTCCCATGCACCCATTAGAGCCCCTAGCAATTCCCACTAACCTCTAAACAATATAACTAGACATTGCCAAAATGCCACATATTCTTGAGCCATATCTTTTCTTCTTATGCTGGTAGAACAGAGTGAAAGTTATGTTTCCCCAGGAACACAGATAGAAGAAGCCAGAGTTGTTCTCAGCATGAGTTTAATGACAGATTTCACTATGATGGCAGTTGAATTCCCTGCTCACACACCCCAGCACTGTGTTTTGTAGAAAGAGGAAAATACACGCATGTACACAGAAGCAGCCCCTGAGAAGAGAAGTACACACATGCTTTTGCCTCCCTCTCTCCTCTCCCTCCATACCCCTCAATCCTTCTCCTCCTTACTATTTTCCTTTTTCTTCCCTTCCACTCTTTCTCTTGCCAACCTGGCTTTTCTTTGAGGCACAGAGTATATAGAGAAGCTTCTTCCTTTAGTTCCAGGAAAATGTAGTTTAATGAAGTTGCCCAGGCAACCACACAATCTTCTTGTTCTTCTGGGGCATGCAAATGTCCCATCTACTTTACCTAATTAGTAAAGCACTGGTAGCCACATATACATCAATTAGAATCTAAGTTCTGTGTCATCTCCTGGAGCTTGCTACTCTTCCTAGCCATCACATATGTCAAGATGTATATGTCTATAGTCTTCCTTAGGCTCTGGAAGACCAGGGGACTCCACCACTGAGCAGGCAGTTTGCATGTGGACTTTGTGTCTTTTCTACCATTGCTTCTGTTACACAGGAAGTATGACTCGGAAAGAACTGGTCCCATGTGTTTCTTTAGTTCTTGTCCTCAATACGCCTCAATACTCTGAGGTGTCCCACATTCGAGGCCATTCAAGGTATAGTTGTGGTTGGTAAATACCCCAGTGAACAGAGTAGTTGAGTCCACTCCTCAAGAAAACAGCTTTGCATGTAGGCTCGAGACACCAGCTAGGTGATATGTTGCTTTCTGGAAAACTTTGGCCATCCTTTTGTTGTGACGTAACTGCACCAAAGAACAATTACTCTTAAAGCTGAATATAGAGCTTGTGTTACCACCTTGCAACTGCATGGGGAATTTCGCCAGATCATGCAGCTCTGAGTCTTTTATGCACAAAAATAATATCCTGATTACCAATAACAGTTAGTGAGAAGTGAAGCTACAGAACGTAAAGAGCGAGGTTATACATTTAGGTACTTCCCCAGAACTTGATCTAGGTCTTTGATGGATTAAATCTTTGTTCCCATTTTGGCATGTATTGCTACCTACATTGCTGCGTACTGAGGTCAGAATCGTGCCTTTAACATGGTATCAGTTGTGCTAAGGTCTCAAGGCCTGTTACACTTCCCTGCCAAAAGCCCTTAATTAATATAAATGTTGTCTATAAAAAATGGTCCAACCAAACTAACATACTCATAATAAAAGGGATATATCTTTGACTTCTATTGAGGTGGGCATTATTTTTGTTCCTTAGAATACTGCCTGCCTTTATCTCACCTTTGCAAAGTCAAAGCTCGCTCCTTAGCCCTCAAAATCATGACAAAGTGTGCTAATGAAATTAGCAACTGTGTAATTTGAAAGGTCTCTCAAGTGAAACTTTGAGAGAATCTTAAAATGAAACTTCCTGTGGACCTGGATGGAAGAACTCATGCTGCTTCTCTTACCAAGTCTAAGCTCCATATCCCTGGGCACCTTTTTGTTCACCCAGAGTTTGAGGGCATTCACTGTCTGGGAGAAGGAGCTGTTTTATGCTTGGATTATTAAAATAAATAATGCTTTAGGAAAAGTCCTACAGTAGAGGTGGAACACAGCACACCAAGAAGAAAAATGTCCCTGGTAATCAAAGGTTCCACCTAGGACTGTTGGACAGAGCAAAGTTGTGTAGCTATGTTTTGTACAGACCTGTGAATTTATAAGACTAGGAATAGTGAAAAGGGACCTGATACAATTAAGGGGCACTTCAATATGGGTGTGAAGAAAAATCGGACTCAGCAGGTATTAGCTATTCAAAGGAAGTTCTGGCTCCCAGCTCCCAGGAAATCACCCCTAACACCTTGGAATAACTCACAAGGTGCATCATTACAATGAGGGTCTTGAATCATGCAATATCAACTTAACTACTGGAGACTGAGTATGCAAATACAGCCCTTCAGCCACCCCATGCTTAAATGGCCAGACACCAAGGCTCATGAGCTTCCATGTTGACAGTGTTCTATATGCATTATGTATTTTCCATATATAGTCCATATGTATTATGCCATATTATTGCTGGAGAGTGATGTGTAATGATTGTATGAGGAACCAAACGGTGAAGAGAACAAGTAGCTCATGCCTGAGCTCTCCTGGAAGCTTCTTGTTTTCCTATGATACACAGTATGAATAAATCAGTTTTGCTGAACTCTGAAGTCTGACTACTAAATGGCTGAGTCCAGCAGTTTTCTAGAGGAAAATTGGAACACAGTGAGACATGGAGAAGGGAAGTCAAGATAAAGGGAAAATTAAGATCTCCACATCTTCATGCTCGCAAGAAATGTTTCCATCACCTCCTCCTTAGGAACTTGGAAGAGGATCTTGATGCTGTAGCACTGCAAGCTGTATGCAGCCAAGTGTTCACCCGTTGCACAGCACCATAGTGAGAGCCCTCTGGAGTGCAGAGTCAGGCCTTTTCAATGTATCCTCCTGCTGTCCTCCCAAAGTACCAAGTTTGAGTCACCTCCAGTATTCTCTATGCTGGATTGCTATGTGCACACTAATATGAACCCGCTACCCCAGTTCTCTTGTATCAGAATTGCTTCTGGCCTAATGGTAGGTTCTCAAACCCAGTTCACGGTTTTCCATTCCTCTGAAGCAGGCAGAGAAACCTGGTGTCATTCCACTGACGATGACACTTCTGCCTTCAGTGCATTATACAGATTGACAGGAAAGAAAATCTCTTCCCTTCTACAGATGACTTGGCTGGGCATGCCTGGATTTTGAAAACACAGCCAAGCTGGAACAAAACCAAGGTGAAGGTTTGGTGGTAGAAGTCACTGTTTGCTGTTCACACAAACTTGCAGACATTCTCAAGGCATTTTTGCTTCAAGGCTGAAAGAGCAAGAAAGGGACTCAGGGCACTGATACTGGAAAAGAACAGAGACATAAAATCAAATAGTACCACCCACAGTTCAAGTTCTTCCTGAGGGCAAGCACAGTGCAGGTCCTTTCTATGAGAGTCCCTTGCTAGTCAGCAGCAGAGTGGAGGAAGGAACAGCCATACTTTTTCACTGTCTGCCCGGATGCTGTTGTCTCAATACCCAACTGTGTCCATATCATCTTCCCATTATGGTTATTTAAACTCATTAATAAACTGATCAGTAAACATAACAAGTTGTGTGTTCAGAGGTTTCATCAGAGTAGGGAGGAAAGGCATAAGATAATGTGCTGGCAAGCTGTCCTAGCCTATGCCCACACAAGGTGAGGGAATTCTGCCCTTGACTTCAGAACCCTCAATCCAGTGAATGGAGGGCTTTTTGTCCTCTCTGCCTTAAATTATTTGCATACAACTTGGTTGAAAATTTCAGTGTTTTTGTGGGGTTTGTGGTTTGGTTTCTATTTTCCTTCCTTTCTTCCTTCCTTTCTTCCTTCCTTTCTTCCTTTCTTCCTTCCTTCCTTCCTTCCTTCCTTCCTTCCTTCCTTCCTTCCTTCTTCCCTTTGTTCCTTCATTCCTTTCTTCTTTCCTTCCTTCCTTCCTTCCTTTCTTTTTTTCCTTCCTTCCTTCCTTCCTTTTTTTATTTTTTATTTTTAGCTTGGGTGGAACTCAGAGCCTAAGAACCTTGCTTGGGTTCACACAGAGGCAGATGTAAGTGATCAACTGACTTCACAGCTTTCTGTCCTTCTTGTAAACGCTGAGGGGTTGACTGAACAGTAACCTATCTTGACTTGACGGTGACTTTGTGAGCTACAGCAGTCTTCTGGACCAGGCTAAGGTGAGTCAACCTATCAGAGTCACAAAACCTTCAAATGCACTCACTACTGAGCCATCACATCAGTAAGCTGGGTACTTACTGCGAGAGTGGGATACCCTCTTCACCCTCTGGCAGATCAGTGTAGCATTCTTCAGAAACCAAGAATAGTATTCCAGACAATACCTACAGGTTCAATCAAAGGTGGGAGTGGTCACTCTCCTGTGATGATCATGAGAAGATAACCAGAATAAAAAAGAGTAATTATACAAGTATGGATATAGCCCATTGTTTACATCAAAGAACCCTCTATTTATCTTTATAGAGTATGGCAGGAAGGGTACAGAAGAAAGCTTGTTAGGAAAGAGCCCAGACTTTGGGGCCAATGAGATTAATTTTTAATCTTAGATCTACAGTGTGTTAGCCTGCGTGAGTTTAGGTTGGCTACTTAATTCTCTCGGCCTTCATTTATTCATACGTAAGTAAAAAACAATGGTATATTAAAAGAGATGATATATGTGAAGTTCCTGAACTATACCAGTGTGTAAATGTCCAATAAGTGGGGATGTTCATTTGTATTGTGGGAGGAAGAGCAGGAGGGGAAGAATGCTGTTGGTTGCCACGCAGCAAATGCATTGTAAAGTAATACACAGCTGATCTTAGACACTCAGTGTTACTTCAGAACTCTGTAGTGGAGAGGCTACAGGCATGCTGTAAGGAGAGATTTCAGCCAGGTTGTCAGTGGTTTGATGTGACAGATCTAGCATCTGAGGTGGTTGAACCAGGCATGTTGGAGTTTTCCTCTGCAAGAAGAGGTGCTTTTAACTGCGGACCTATCTCTTCAGCCCCAGCTGTGTGGATGTTAACCTAGGTAGTCCAGCCTGTTCTAGAAAACTTTGTTATTCCCATAGTCAAATAGACCAATATTTCAGTCAGGACCCCATCAGGAAAGTGAAAAGAACTAAGTGCTTTAATAAAGTACATTCACACTGGAAGTTGGCCCCAAACAGGTTAGAAGAGAAGAAAGAAATCACGGCAAGAAGGAAAGAGGCAATCCTATGTCTGCTGGACAGTGGGTCACCAGGCAGAAGAGACAGCGGCAAGTGTGCAATGAGCACAGAAGGGAAGGGGTGTGCTCCTTTGTTACAGAGGCTGCAACCTCAGAAGAGACACCTATTTCTGGAAATGCAGAAATGTAGAAAAGCTTCCGGTCCTCTCCTTTCTGCCAGTGTCTTCCACTGCGTGAGCAAACAGGAAACCGAATGCCTAGGCATTCTGGAAAATGGAGTTTGCATAAGCCAGATCAGTTAGTATAAAGCCGACTGGAAACAGCAGGGGTGTATCTCAATGATGGACACAATAGGACCCCTCTCCTTATAACCCTGGACCTGCTCAAGAAGGGATAATATGTCAAACCTGGACAACTCAGCACAGCTCATCACAGCACCTAAGCATTTGGTTGCCATAGTCACAACATGTCAAGTGTGCCAGAAAGGGGATCCATGCAGCAAGTCCCAGCACAGCCACTAGCCCAAGAGTACAGTGTTCCTGGTGCTGGCGAAAGTATCAGATACATTGTCTCATTTCATTTCACGACACTGTCTCTGTAGCAAGAATGTTGCTGTCTTTCTCTTGAAATTATGTGAGAAAATTATGTGGCCTGAAATGTGGGCAGGACTAAGTTCATTATGGGATAAATCAAATAAGGTTCAAATAGCCTATGTGAGTAGTCTCAACACCACATTGCATGTAAGTTATAGAACCTAAAAGCCTGATTGACTTCTAGCCCAAATCAGTGTTTAGTCAGCTAAATAAGGCTTTGGGACCCTTGGCTCATATTCTCACCTCAATCCTTCTCAGTCAATGTGATGGCATATGAGGTATATTTTTTAAACAATTTTAAGAAGTCTTATACTGTTTCCAACATAGTAAGAATGTCAAACTATGCTGGCAAATAGTCTTCTTTATGATGTAATGCTAACAAATGAGATATTAGGCCGTCTGAGTTGCTCTGTGAACCTTCAGACATGGCCAGAACTTCCGTTGTCATATGGCCTCTTTTCAAAAAGCCAAAGTTGTCATTTGGAACCTCAAGTCACAGCTTGTTCGTTAGATGGAAAATTTCTTCCCCTATGACCAGGAAAGACAGTACTTCATGATAACATAGCCATCCCCAAACCTGGGACAGAATATCTTGGTCCTTCCCCCAAGTTAATATGGCAAGGCAAGTCACTAGTACATAAATAGCCATACTTGGCAGGTAATAGACTCAAAGTTATGTTAACAACAAGGTTTGTTGAATGACTTAGAGGATAAGTCTTTCATACAAAAAAGACTAAACCATATGTTCTCAACCTTCCCAATGCTGTGACCCTTGAAGGCAGTTCCTCATATTGTACTTAGCCCTAACCATAAAAATGATTTTCATTGCCACTTCAAAATTGTAATTTTGCTACTGTTATGAACCATAATGTAAATATTTTTGGAGACAGTGGTTTGTTAAAGGGGTTGCAACCTACAGGTTGAGAACCTCTAGGCTAAATGATCATGGAGGAAAAGCTGTGGTGAAGGCAGCCTGCTGTTTCTGTCTTTGGGTTTTGGTATCAGGGCCAGCTTTAGTGCCATCGGTATGAACTAGACTGAAGCACTCATCAATGTGCAAATTCCATGCATCAGGAGATGCAGATACCTGAAAACCATGAAGACGTCATTATTTGTCATCTGCCATCCATTAAAAGTGAAAGGGACTCAGTTTCTGTCATCCTACAATATGGAAAGGCATGTCTCCAGTATTGTGGGAGGGACTCCAAATTGGAAGTCTCAAAAAGGACTCCGCTTGGAAAGAGGTTAAATAAGGAAGAGAGATTAAGAAACCAGAGTTTTTAATCTGACAAAATGAATGGTTGAGCTTCTAGGGTTCTGTATGTTCTACTAATAAGTGAAGAGACAGCTATTCCTCTTAACAGCAGCTGCTGGCTCCTGCTCCTGTCCTACCTGGGCAGTAGCAGGAGTATACTGGCACAGCTTGCAGCTCTTCTAGCATCTAGTAGCAGAGCCAGACTCACAGAACACACTGAGTTAAAAAAGATTGATTGGAAGAGTCAGAAAACAGGAAACAGGACAGGAGCCTACCACAGAGGGCCTCTGAAAGATTCTATCCAGCAGGTTATCAAAGCAGATGCTGAGGCTCATAACCAAACTTTGGGCAGAGTGCATGGAATCTTATGAAAGAAGGGGGAGATAGAAAGACCTACAGTGGACAGGAGCTCCACAAGGAGAACAACAGAACCAAAATATCTGGGAACAGGGATCTTTTCTGAGACTGATACTCCAACCAAGGACCATTCATGGAGATAACCTGGACCCCATGCACAGAGGAAGCCCGTGGCAGTTCAATGTACAAGTGGGTACCCTAGTAAGGGGAATAGAGACTGTCTCTGACATGAACTCAGTGACTGGCTCCATGATCACGCTCCGCCTCCTCCCCAGGGAGGAGCAGCCTTACCAGGCCACAGAGGAAGACAATGCAGCCAGTCCTGATGAGACCTGATAGGCTAGGATCAGATGGAAGGGGAGAAGGACCTTCCCTATCAGTGGACTTGGAGAGGGGAATGGGAAGAGATGAGAGAGGGAGGGTGGGAATGGGAGAGAATGAGTAAGGGGGCTGCAGCTGGGATACAAAGTGTATAAACTGTAATTAATGCAAAAAAAAATAAAAGAGACTGCACAAGGGGGATCCAAGAAGGAGGCACTGGAAGGACACTGTGTCTGAAGATCAGGACAGCAGTGACTGCACAGTGACCAAGAGATCGAACACTGGGCCCTAAAACAACAGTGATTGTGTTTCCCAGGTGAGAGGAAACCTCACTATGAGGGAATCAATCGTGTTCAGGTCACCCAGCTAAACCTCGGTAGAGTTCTTGGGTCCTGGCAGACACTCAGTAGCCAGTCCAGAGAGTCACACGCCTGTGTGTTCTGATCAACATCCTAGACTGAACTGGGATTTTCAGTTCAGAGACTGGGATTTCAGGTCGAGAGAAAACCACCCGGTGAAGGAAGGAATCGGGACCGATCTCATGTCACCTAGATAGTCTCTGGAAAAGGTCTTGTGATCCAGTGGGAGCTCAGCTGCCAGCCCAGAGACCTGCCTGTGTGCCCAACTCACTGTCCCAGATACAAATGTGGAAACTGGAAAAATTAAAACACAAATGGAGAAAATAATGGAGGGGAAAAACTTAGGGAAGAAAACGGGAACTACTGAGGTAAAACATAACCAACAGACTACAAGAGATGGAAGAAAGAGTCTCAGGTATGGAAGATACAATAAATGAAGGAACAGATTAGAAAGACACTGGAATCTATGGCAAGATTTGAGGAGAATGAGTTATAAGTAAACACGTGTGTGATTGAAAGAACAAGGTCATTTTGAACAGGGATAAAGGCAGCACCAGGGCCTACCATTGCTGTTGCAGACACATCCAGCATCCCAGAAGTCTGGAAATGTTCAGGCTGTGTTTCACTCCATCTTTTCATATGTTATCTCATTGTTTGCTGGAGTGACTTCTCCCATTTCCTACCTTCATAAGTTCTATGCCTTAACCAAATCCTGGATGTCCCGTTTCTGATGGGATCCTATAGCATTTGATTCTGGATCTTCTGTAATAGTTGTCATACTGGTTGGAAATTTCTCTCTTTATATTACCAACTTTCCCACTAAATAGTGCTTAGATTTTAAATCTCAGAAGTACTATTATTCAAGAAAACATACCCAGCTACATGATCCTCCTTCACATTGGCATTCTTGTACTATATTTAATGTTTTATGTGAGTTTGTGGAATAATTTACTATTCAGTGAAAATATGGGGACAGAGTAAAAGGCCAAGTGAGCAGCTGCATTATTTCTATAAATCAACCCAGAATTTTCCATGGGAATTCTTCCTTTCCTTGTTATTCTTACTTTTCTGTGATTATTTTTTCTTTCTGCATTTCGATTTGTGTGTGTATGTATGTATGTGTGTGTGTACATTTGTCTGTCTGCCCATCCATGTAGAAGCCAAAGAAAATTTCAGAACTGGAGTAACAGATATTTGTGAGCCACTTGCCATGGTTACTGGGATCTGAACTCAGGTCTTCTGGAAGAGCATCAAGCGCTCTTAACTGCCGAATCATCTCTCTAGCCCTGTACGGATGTTTTCAGTTCTGATAACACTATGACTAATGCATTTAATATGACTAGTACATTTTTGCTTGTATTAATGACTTAGTCCTAACCCTTTTATTTATTTTAACTTGTGCTGTACAACTATTATATCCCACCAACTATGGCCCAGTTTCTGGATCTATTTTGTGATTCATCTTTAAGCCAACACTTGGCTTAATATAATGCATGACTGATAGACAGTAGGGATTCAACATATGATCAGTTAGTGAGAGAAGGATCTACTGAAGTAAGCTGACCTTAAATAATATAAAAAGTATTGTTTTGAAGATTTCTCTTTTCTTCACTGTGAAGAAATTCCACTTCCTGGCTTGTTCTCACTTCTGGGCCTGGGAACTTATTTATTACCCTCTTCATAGATGTAACCATCTAGTAGAGGTCACACTGTAGAGTAAGCTCCCTTAGGTCACCTGTCACCTGTATGGGAACTGTTTAACGCCTGGTTACCTGATAAGTTGCAGAGAGGCTACACACTATTGGTGTGCAAAGGAGTCACTGTCCCAGATTACCTTGTGGCTTCTAAACTGTAATCCCTCTTTTGGCTTGCACAGAGGCATTTCTGGAAGTAGCGGCAGAGTTCCATCAGGCATGGGTTGAGTTTCTTCATGACCAGGGGTAGAGGAGTGTCTGCAATGGTTTCTTCTTTGAGGAGTGGCCGAGGACACCCTGGAATATGCAATCTCAGACATGTGAAATCAGTAAGAGCTCAGCAAATGCCTTCCCTTCGGTAAGGCCTCTAATAGGTGAGTACCATCTAGCCCTTATTTCAGGTAGGTTGGAAACAGACAATAGAGAGTGTGGGTTCATTCCTGCTCGGTGTGAGAATGTCAAGAGACAGGTATAGAGTTATGGTAATCAGGCTCAAGAATTGGCCAGACATGGGTTCTCTGAGAAGCATGCTATAGAGAAACATTTGAAGTATGGAACAGAAATGCACGGGGGGGTGGGAGGAGGCACCACTGGTACAGAGGATAGAGAACTATCATGCAAGGGGATAGCTGGTTGGGGAAAATGGACAATGCTTTAAATACAGAGGGTATGTTGCACTGTGTGTGTGTGTATGTTTTTGTGTGCATGCATGTGAGTGTGCATGGGTGTGAGTGCGTGTTTGTGTGGTGTGTGTGAAGAGCATGTATGAATGCATGCACATATGCACACACATGTGTAAGGCAGCAAGAAGGTATGATGGTTGGTATTGATTGTCAACTTGAAAGCATATAAAATCACCTAGACTGGGCTGAGGTGGGATGACCAATTCTTAAAAATATTTTTAAAAATAAATTTATTCATTTAATATCCCAATCACAGCCCCCTTTCTCCTCTGCTCCCAGTCCCACCATCCCTTCCTCTCCCCTTTCCCGACTCCCTTTCACCTCAGAAAAGAGGAGTCTCCCTTACAAACCCACCATGGCCCATCAAGTCTCATCAGGACTTAGTACATCCTCCTCCACTGAGGCCAGACAAGACAGCCCAGCTAGGGGAAAGTGATCCTAAAGCAGGCAACCACATCATATATGACCCTGCTGCCCTTGTTGCTAGGGTACCCACATAAAGACCAAGCTGTCCATCATTAACATATGTGGGACAACCCATTATAAGGGTGGGTGGCACCACTCCATGAGGTGAAGTCCTGGACTAAATAAAAAGCAGAAAGTCAGCTGAGCATCAGAATTCATCCCTTTGTTTCCCAATGGCAGACACCATCTGATTACCTGCTCCAAGCTCCCACTTTCTTGTCTTGCCTGCCGTGATGGACTGTATCCTTGAACCACGTGCTCAAATAAGCCTTTCTTTCCTTCAGTCACTTTTGTCATGTGTTTTGTCACAACAATAAGAAACTAAATAGCAGGTTCAAAAAATGAATCTAGCAAGCCAAGTCTAGCAGGCTGGACATCCGATTCTGAGCTCTCCTTCTTGAGGTATAGGTTGGTTATGTATGTATCTCACAACCAGATTATTATCATTGTTTTGTATGTGGCACTTAGGAGAAGAATACAAATATAAAGCAAAGGAGAAATGGAGTTGTTAAAGATCTCATCCTATTGGATCTCCTGAAACAGAATCAATTTCCTGACACTTCACCCAGGCACCCTTACAAGAGGAATGAGGAGATTCGAACCCAGCATGCAGAGCAACTGGAAGAAATCAGTGAGTCCTACACAGAGCATGTGGTACTGTTGTTGACATGGAAGAGACAGAAATGATAGCTATTATTGTTGACTGGATTATTGGAATTTTGAGTCTATCATGTGCCAGGCGCTGATAGTACAGCAATGAACAAGGAGAAGCAGGGTTGTCCTTGTCACTTAGGATTAGAAATTATGTTAGGATGTTAAAATTACACAGGATGGGCCAGTCATCACCCATCACCCACCGTCAGACAAAATGACACATTTAGAAATGAGAAGACAGGAATAGTGGCTTCCCTTTAATGTAGTTGGGACTGTTGCCTAGCAGACGACCTGAGATATATAGATAGATATCTGGTTATATAGGAGGGTGAAGCTTTTGATTTGATTCTTTTGAGACAGAGTCTCATGACGTTAAGGCTTGCCTAAAATTTGTTATAAAGCTGAAAAAAATTAGAACCTCCTGTCTCCACCCTTTGTGTTGTAGGAATACAGGCATACACCACCACACTCAATTTATGTGGTGTTGAATATTGACTTCATGCATGGTAGGCAAGCATTCTACCAACTGAGCTACATCCACATCCCAGGAATGTAACTCTTTGTCTGTAAATATAACTGATATTCTACTGAGTATTTTTTTTTACAGCTCTGTAGTGGCACAAGTTAACTGATACTAATATATAGCAGCTATCTGAGAATACTGCAGATAACTCTTGTTCACAGCAATGTAAGTGACTGTTGTCTTGCAAGTGAACAGTTGATTTTTGCCTCATTTAAAAAGAAAGAATTATTACTATTGATTATCAATTGGCAAGCTCACTTGAAATAACTTCCCTATATTGGCTTGTAAATCTGTTCAGATTCCCTGTTGATACAACTTAAAAACCTTTTTGGTTTTCTCATCAACTGAGTTGAATAACATCTTCAATATGCTGACACACTTACATTCTAAATTTCATGAAACTTTTTGTGGCACTAGGGATGGAACCCAGGTCTCCATACTAATCAAGAGACTAACAACTGAATCTAACCCCACTCTGAGAATATTTAAATTATAATTCATCAGCAAGGTTTAGCAAGTAAAGAAAGGGTTCATAAAGTGAGCGAAATTTAAAACATATAGAAACAAAATATTTTTCCACGAGTTTACTAGAACATTAACTGCCCCCACACCACAGAGCACCACCAAGCTTCCACCAATGTGTCAGTTAGCATCTACTGTGAACCAGGTACGTACCTAGGTTTTTCACAAAGATTGCCTCATCTAAACCTTGTAAAACTGCGATGCAGATTTTGAGAGTATTGACATACAGAAGAGGTCATTAAGCATGAAGCGAGTCACACCATAGGAGGGAAGGAGTCTTCAGAGACCTGACTCTAGGCTCGATAAGACCCACATTCCTACTATATAAACAGCATCCTTAAGGATGGATTTCTACACATCACTTCCATGCTACACATAATCTATACTTCTCTGCTTCAGGAAGTGACCTCAGGGGAGTCACATGATCTAATTCAGTGCACTCCTGAAGCTTACTCTATTATTATCACATTCCTTTGATTTTGTTTCCTAAATGTAATCCAAATCTGTCTGCTTAGGTAATTGTGTTTTACTCTTAGCCACCATCATCTTGCCTGAATCTCCTCACTACACTTTCCACTCCAGTATCTCTGTATTTTCCTCTCTGAGGCCAGGAATATCATTGCACAGCACCCATTGGGCCATATAGCTTTCCCATGCCTCAGAACATGAGCCAAACGCCCTTGATGATTTCACTCTCTGTCCTCTCTTCCTTAGTTCCTATGACTCTCACCTTCAGCACAAAAATTCTAGCCACTGAGGCCCTGTTCAGTACTCAGGAATGTCAGTCTTTCTGGCTTTTGTGGTTTTGCTTATGCCAAGGCTCTGCAGGATTACATACTTAGCAGCATCTTGTCAGAAGGTATTTGCTTAGTTGGGCCCTGCCTGACTTCTCCAGCTGCCAGCATTCTCTTCCTCACTGGCTGTACAAAGATCTGGTTGCTTTTTGTCCCCAGGAGCCTTACAATATTCATCCTTTCATAGGCATTTTCAGTGTGTCTGTACATGTGTGTGCGTGTCACATCTTAGCGGAGGTCATACAAAATGATGAAATGATCACAGATGTTGGAGGGAGGCAGCTATGGCCTCCAGATTCAGCTTCTCGTCTATAGGACCCACCAGAATCCTTTAATGAAAATTGCACTCCAAAATTATTATACAGAAAAATTGAGATATCCTAACTCTGTGTCACTCACATGGTAGGAGCTCATTAGATGTTTACTGAAGAGATAAATTAATGATTAATAAAACTTTTGTGGCATATTTTTTAAAACAGTTTTTAAATGAGCAAAATAATTTACTCAAAGATGTCAGGATCTCTTTATTTTATGCAGCTAACACCTCATGAGATAAACAATAGAAGGATGGAGATGGTACACAATAAATAGGCAGATAGTGATCTATCAGGCAGGTATGAAAGAAGTGTCAGCAGCAATGAGTAGGAATATATAGACAAAAGATACATGACAGGTAGATATGTGGACAGAGTCTGCTATGTAGATACAGCTATAAATAAAAATATGATGTAGATGCAGTTAGCATGTGCTCTGGAACTCAACCTAACAATATTATCAGCACCACCAGTTCTTCTCTTTAGATCTCCTAGGAGACAAAGACACAATTTCTTGGTAACACAGTTGGGTCTTTGTATCTGAAAGGCCCATTTATCATTCCCTGGAGGCGGTGAGGTTTGGAGTAGGTCTGAGGATATAGGAAACAAGAGACTGTGCAGGCTCCAGCAATTTAATAATGCCCTGTTGACATATGACCAACCAGCACTGTAACAGTCAGGAAGCTTGTACAGAAAGATATTCAGGAGAAGGAAGGGTCTGAGAACCTGACAAACTTTGACGGACTTGCTTTGTCTAGTTTCTGTCATAGGGAACTAACAGCACAGAAAGAAAGAGAGCGCAACAGCCAAAAGCTGAGAAAAGAAATTCAAGTTTTGTGAGTTCTGGAAACCCAGGCCTAGGAAGTCGCTGCTACTCAAACCCATGAGAATGGGGTTTTTAGGGATATGGCCAGCAGGGCATCCTTTAAAACACAGCCACACTGAATCACACCCAGCGTGGATTCTGGAGTCACATTTACGCCTTCTTCCTGCTTTGTTCAGCCAACAACCAGACAAGCAGCTCATCACAAGAGCAGCTTCTATTTACAAAGCGATCAGCACATTTTCTTAGATGTTCAATCAATGAACGTTGGTCAAATTAAATAACATTGAGCTTTAAAATCCCAAGTCAATTCAGTACACATTATCTTAATACAAAACCATGTAGAAGGGAATAAAGAGAACAGATGTTTTTAGTGCTCACAGTAAATTGCAGTCGTTCTTGCTTTAAATTGAGGGTATCAATCCTGTAGGCCACACCTTGCAAAAGCAGATGAGCTGGGATTTGCATCCTAGCAGCCTGAGTCTACATTGATCAAACAAACCTCTTTATTAGACTATACAACCTCTTTCAATAAAACACAAGCCTAAGCAATGACTGGGTGTTCCTACTCACTTGAAACTTGATGGGCTGCTGGGACCAGGGCTGGCTCTAACTCAGGGGTGAATGGCCACTCTGCAGGAACACCATCTGCAAGCAGCAAGAGGAACATTCTTCAAAACTGAAATGAGATGACTTTGGGCTATTACACACAGAGTCACAGAATCCCAGCACCTTAGAGATGACAGTCCTTAAAAATACGCAGGGAAATGTCAGCCTAAGGGAAGGAAGTGGCTTAGCCACGATCATACAGATTTACAGTGCAACAACCAACACCATGAAACCATTTATCCTGATCCTTCTGCTCTAATAAAGTACATCGACATTATGCTTGCAGGTGCTCTTGTAGCAGTCAGGGTTCCTTTCCCAGGCTATGCTTTCCTTCGCAGTATGGAGTTCCTTGGTCTGGCCATGTAGTCTCACCTGTCTGCGGATCTCTAGGGGCTGGTGCTTTGGTTGGAATTGGAGTCTGTGTTCCAGGCGTGAGTGTTCCTGAGAGGAAAGGAGAGAGATGAACGTGCATCTCTTCAGGAGGAACCCAATCTGAAGAAGATGCTTCATATCTCACCAGAGCAGCTGACTAGGCCAGACACCAAGTGGGATGCTGAAGGAATGAGTAAGAAATGTAGCCACAATCAAGTTCTCCCTGGAGTGTGGAAGGAAATGGATGAGTCCCATCAGTAACTGGTAAAGCGTGATGGGGCCATTGGGAACTTGCCAATATCAATAAGACATGGTGACACCATATAGGACAGTGATTACACTGAAGAGGGAAGTGTTTGATTATGGGCCCTCTGAGACTAAAGGAACATGGCTTCCTTGTCATTGATCTGAGTCATACTGTACACATAGACTCTGTCCACATCCCTGATAAATCATTTGTCAATCATTTTAATAATAGCCTGTGCTCAACATCTGTCTTTTATGCCCTGACAAGCCAGCAAAACAACCATCTTTTTTAGAAGATGTATGTGTGTGTGAGAGAGAGAGAGAGACAGAGAGACAGAGAGAGAGAAAGAGAAAGAGAGAAAGAAAGAGAAACTGGCAGTTCCATTCTGTGGATGAATGAAAAGAGTAAGACTGCAGTACAACCTGGCCCAATAGACAGGCACCAGTTCAGCAGGTGGTACTGTTGACTACAGTAAGGAACATAGGGTTAGTGAGAATTGGCCTCCAAAGCAGAGCAAAAAGTGTGTGCAAAAACCTAGAGGAGTGAGGAACTAGGACTGTTCAGTGGCTGGACTCCAGAAATGAAGTGGAAACGAAGGAAATGCTGTGGACCCCGTGATTCAGCCGACACTACTGTAATGTAGTTCACTGTTCGTGGCCACTCTTCTGCTGGGACTGTGAGTTTTGTGGTGTTTGATTCAACATGGCTGTCACTCTATAGACCTCCATATGAGTTGCAGAGATGAATGCTACAGCCATTCACAATCAGCTCATAACTGTCCGGACCCCCAATTCCAGCAGAAATCATATTTTCTCAGAAGGGGTCAATATCATCTTTTGGTTACTCAGATATTGATTAGACCCTCGCCTCCACTAAAGGAGGTAGCACTAATGCTTGCTTCCTTGATGGGTTTTTGTGTAAATCTTGAGCAGCCTGAACCACATCCAGCTCGTCTATGACTATCTTTTAGTTTGATTAAATTATTTTGATTATTTCTGATCACAGAATACTGACGTGTAAGGGATTAAGGTCTCATGACTCCCACAGATGGCCTTAGTGCCTGTTGAGGCTGGCTGGGCCAGCTTAAAAGAGCTGCAGGGAAGGATTATATGACAGTGCTTATATTCTGAGACAAACTCCTTGCAGATTTCACTGCTCTGAAAATTCTTACTTAATGACAAGAACATGGGAGCTCAGAGGGAGAGCAACATTTTCTGTGAGTTGTGTAGGTAGTATAGGCAAGATCGAAGTCCAGCTGTGTCCGACTCTGAGACAGAGCTGAGTTTATAGGTGATTGCTGGCCCTCTGATCAGAGCAAAAATGAATTTGCTTAAATTTTTCTCTACACTAGTATAAATGCTGATAGAGCTCAAAACCATTATGTCAGGTGTTTATATGATTAAAGGTGTCCAAATGACATCCCCCAGACCTCACGGTTCAGCTGAGATGTGTGTGTGTGTGTGTGTGTGTGTGTGTGTGTATGAGTGTGTTAAATTTCGTGTGCTCCTTCCTCTCTCTGTATTTCTTGGGAAGCTCAGTCATCTGACAAACTTTTATTGAATGCCTTTTTTAGAGAAGCCTTCATCTGAAGACATAAATCCTTAGGGAGAGTACAGCCTAGAGGGGAGAAATGTTAAGTTCACAGTCACTGAAACTACAGCTGTGATGCATGTGACAGCCAGCTAACCATGATTGGCAGGAAGATTTCCAGACACCTGTAAATATCAGAAGAAAGGCTTTTTAAAGTGAGTAACTAAAAATATAAATTTTGTCTGTGAGAAGAAAAATTATGGACAAGTCATGAACATTGGATAAAGAAAATGAAAATCAAGGTGACTATACTCTCCAAATTTGATCCGGGAACTGTACGGCTAGATATAAGGTCAAGATGTAAATGCATTTTGATTTGCTTTCCAAGGCTTCATTGTATACATACATGCATGAACACACATGGATACAGATGCAGTACAACACTGGAATCAAACTTGGTATGTCCTATTTTACAGATCAAGCTTTCCTTATGACTTGATGGCATACATATATCTGTATGTGGAATTAACATTTATCACATGTCACCTTACATCAGATAAACATGCTGTATATGTGATCAACATAATGTGATCAATACTATGCAACAAAGGCAGTTAACTTGTCTAGAGTGCTGACTTCTAGTGGCCAGTGACAGACAGTGGTACAAGGAAAAGAAAATCCAGAATGGGAGTTTGTAGGAAACTAAAACAGAAAATGCTAGAGATGTCAAAAGAGAACAGGAAAGAGGGAGAGAAAATATGAATAATGCAAAGTGGTAGAAGGTAGCTATAGTCAAGTATGTTATACGCATATATGGCAATGTTATAGTGAAACCATTTACTCTCTACAATTGATATGAAAATAGAAAGAAGGGCAGATGGGACAGTCCTGTGAAAAAAGAGTATTTTTTTATTTGTTCATAAATTAGAATAAAGGACTGGAATAAAGAAAAGAAGAAGAATGAGTTTGCTTTACGTCATTTATAAAATAACTTATTTTCGAGGCGGGGCAAGATGGCAGCACCGGGAGGACTCTCATTCTGAGGAGCAGCACAGCAGGATTGGCACAGTGACCAGCAATCAGAACTCGCGGCCATAAAACACAAGTGGTTGTGTTTCTCAGATGAGAGGATACCCCACGGTGGGGGATTCGATCAGCTTTAACTCACCCGGCTAAACGCGGAAGAGATCCCCGTTCCGCCAGGCGCTTGGTCGCCAGCCCAGAGCTACACGCCAGCGCGATCTGGTCACGGTCCCAGACTGAACTGTGGGCCCACAACACCATAGACTGGATTTCCCAGTCGAGAGATAACCCCACGGAGCAGGAAACAATTGGGACCGACCCCAGGTTGCCCAGACATCCCCTGGAAAAGACTCGGGTTCCGCGGGTGCCCCAGGAGCCAGCCCGGACCCAGAGCCGGGAGGGACAAAGGCGCCTGCCTGCACGGAGCCCTGCCTGCGCGCGATTCGCCGCCTCAGATAGAACTGTGGGCACCAGGGCAACAGGGCACCAGACTGCGTGTCTCTGGCAGGAGGAAACCCCAGCTTAGGACACCCAGCACCAAAACACTTCCTGGACTCACGCAGACTCTAGTGCAGGCAGGAGCACTGTGCTCTGCCGCCATTGTTGCGTTCCCCTGGGGCACTGGGACACACAGCTGCATCCTCGGACCTGCAGGAGCCGAAGAGCCATTACAGCAGCCCTCAGATACTGTGCCAGGGATTGGCCAGTTGTCCCTGGCTGGACTGCCAAAACTAGGAATCCCTGATCCTTCAGGGGGGCTGCACCCACAGCGTCTGGACCAGAGTGGTGCGTACAGCCGCCATCCCAGACAGAGACACACAGCTTCTGGTCCAGAGTGAGGCACCCAGCCTCCAGACCAGAGCAGTGCCCCCAGGCGCCAACTCAACCTAGGTGCACATTCTCCAGGTCCAGAGCAGAGCAATCAGCCTTTGGCCCAGAGACTTGCTGAGTGCACCTCCCACTTTCTCAGACAGAACTGTGCGCCCCAGGATAACAGACTGAGTTTCCCTGTTGGGAGAAAACCCCATAGCTAGGGAATCAGCAGTTTCTTCAAGAGGACTGTACATAGAAATTTAGTGAGCAGGAGCACACTAAATTTATAACAAGAAACCCAGCAGTGGGGCAGCTGTCTTGAGAAATTTTATGGGTAAGAGGAGATCCCCCCCTGCCTAACATAGACCACAGCTACTACTCAGGGCTATAAACCTGAGGTGAGCAGTGGCAACTCCGGAGAAACACTGGCCATACAGTGACCATAACCAAAAAGCAGAGAAGGACTCCTTCAGGAAAAATCATCTTCCGGCCAAGGGGATACTCCCTACCTCAGGACTCCAGGAAGCACAGAAACTAATAGCCAAAACCTAAATCAGCCCAATGGGTAGAGGTCAGCGTAAAGGCTCAACCAACAAAAGACAGAGCAATATGGCATCTCCAGAACCCAGCCATCCAGGGGCGAACAGCCCTGAACAATGCAGCATAATAGAAAATCAAGAAGATGACCTTACATCTATGTTGATGAAGAGAATAATAGAGGAAACAGATAAAATACGTAAAGAATTAGAGGAAGATAAAACCAAACAGATCATGGCTATCCGTAAAGAAATGGAGGAAGATAAAGACAAGCAAATTAGGGCCATCCGTGAAGAAATACGGGAAGATGCAGCCAAACAGCTTGTGGCCTTCAGAGAAGAAATAATTAAATCACTGAAAGAAATCAAAGAGACAGAGTTGAAGGAACTAAAAGAAAAAGAGGAAAATACAAGCAGACAGGTGAAGGAAGTAAACAAAACAACTCAAGACCTGAAGATAGAACTAGAAAAATTAAAGAAAACACAAATGGAGGAAATAATGGAGAGGAAGAATTTAGGGAAGAAAACAGGAAGTACAGAGGTAAGCATAACCAACAGAATACAAGAAATGGAAGAAAGAATCTCAGGTGTAGAAGATACAATGGAAGAAATCGATGTATCTGTCAAAGAAAATGTTAAATCCAAAAAATTCCTGACATAGACCGTCCAAGAAATCCAAGACAATATGAAAAGACAAAACCTAAGAATAATAGGAATAGAGGAAAAAGAAGACTCCCTTCTCCAAGGCCCAGAAAATATTTTCAACAAAATCATTGAAGAAAATTTCCCCAAGTTAAAGGAGAAGCCAATAAGGATACATGAGGCCTACAGAACACCCAACAAATTTGACCAGAAAAGAAAATCCTCCCGCCACATAATAATTAAAACAGGAAGTATACAGAACAAAGAAAAAATACTAA